AGTATGGATATCTTGCAGCAACATTGTATGCTACAAAGTAGAATTTGGCCATAAGCACTGGATATATCATTGGTCCCAGTCACCAGTCCTAGTACTTTTCTTGGTTATTGGCATATTTCCACTTGTCTAAGATGAAATGATAAATATTACAGTGAATTTTTATGAAGCTGAATTTATTCAGTACAAACACTTGCTCTTTATTTTCACATATTTCAACTTTTTTTGGCTGTTAAAATATTCTTTTAGGAAGTAATAGTGATAAGTAGTTGATAGATTTTTTTTAAGGTCCTTACTAGACAAAATAAAGAGCTGGCAAATGTATGTCAGCTCTTCCCCACTAGCTAATATTATTTTGAAATCCTGTAGTCTGGAAATCACTTAACCAGTTAATCTTCAAGATTTCTTATAGGTCTGGGAACCTTTAAGACTCCTATATACCAAAGGAATTTATCTATAAGGACCGTTCAGTAACATCAGGCAGAGCATTTCCAAGGAGGCTTCAATGCATCTAGTTCCCAGTAATTTATATTTTATGCAGAGACCCAGTTGTTGCCCCCTAGGAAATTATAATCTAAGACAGAACAGATGCAGATTGTTGTCACCCAGCACATAGAAGATAGGATAGAAATATCAGTCTATTACATAGATTAAGAATTGGCAAAAACCATGATATGAGGTGTGGGGGCTAATTGGAAAGAGTAGCCATGTGGAGCTCTATAACCAAACTAGAGCAAAGGACCAAACAATTAGGTCATCTTGGAATCAACCAGGACTATCTGGAACCCCTTAAATGTTATTGAATTGCTTTCTTTGCCTCGATGTCCCAAGGTTGGACATGACTATAGAATTTCAATGGCTAGACTAGAGAGATGGTTTTCATCAGGAATTTTTAAAAAAGGATTTTGTATTGTTTTTATTTTTATACCACATACAGGTTCTGATGAAAACATCAAATACTGGTTAAAGTAAGTAGGCCACCAAACAATTACAGAACAGTTGGGTCCGCAAGCAAAAATTGTGGATAAAATTCATAATTAAGCAGATTCTCATTATACCCAAGTTCATCCTTAGTCGCAAGAGTAGATATTTTTTTAAATTTTTTCCCCAGCTTTATTGACATATAATAGACAATTAGTTGCTCATGTTTACATTGTATAATTCAGTGAGTTTTTTTTTTCAATTATAGTTGGCACAAAAGTAGGTATTTTTTTGAAAGGTACATTAATTATAGACATCTAGTAAATGATTTCTTTATTTTATTCATGTGGTCTTCCTCTGGTCCCAGTTAATGTGGCTTCTAAAAGTACATTCACTTGTAAGCCAGGGATGTTTAGGCCCTCGAAAAATCTGTCTCCTTGTTAAAAATATATAATTGGTTTTAATTCTGAATATAGCAAATGAACTAATGACTTCTGAGTTTGCAAGATAAAAGTATTTCCTGGAGGAGATGACCAGGAAAATGCTAATAACTGGGGAAACAAATTACTGAACAGAAATCTGACAAAGTTTACTATTACAAATAAAAATATTTTCTCACATCCTTCTTGAGAGCAGTATATAATTTTAGTGTGTTGAGCATGATTTGATTTGCCAATAATTTATTTCACATACATCTATTGAATGCTTGTGTCTGGAGATACAAAGGTGCATTAAAATCTTTGCTCTGTCAGGCTGTCACCATCTCTAGGAGATTCTCAGTGCATATTTTAAAGTTACAATAATTTCTACTGGAACTTATACCATACCACACACACATACACAGAAACACACCCATATTTTAAAGGATCTAGGTGTGTTAGAAAGTTTCAGGAACTGAAGGAAGCAGGTCTGAGGGACCTACATCTATTAGACCCACATCTAATACTTAAGTATATAGCAACTTGGTATTATTTATTATTTTTATTTTTTAAAATCATTTTTTATTATGGCAACATTGGTTAACAAAATCCAGTAAGTTTTAGGTATACAATTTAACAGTAAGGCATATCTATATATTGCATTGTGTACAACTTGGTTTTTAAAATCATCTTTAAATAATACGTCTTGAGTTTTCTTTCTCTTTTGGCCTTTTCTTTTTCCTTTTATGTGGTCCTACTTCTAGAAGATCTTCATGGCACTTCCCAGTCTAATCCAACCTAACATCAGTTGAAGGACATCTACTCTAGCTCTTCTCAGATTCCTTAATCCTATCTGGGGAGAGGGAAAGGGACACAGGGTGCCATTTCAGTGTTTGTAGGCTCCAAGACTGCCCTTTGAGCATTGACCTTTGGGAGAAAATTTGCTCTACACTTTATAGTTTTGCCTTTTTGATATTAGGAGGCCCTGGACGCTCATGTATACCTATACTGCATAAAGTAGTTCTCTTCTGCAAAGTATTTGGGCCCATTTTGTTTCAGAAAGAAGCCAAAAGTGGACCCAGCAGTCTGACTCCACAAACTGGGCCTATCCTTTCCCTGTGCTAGGTACCGTGGGTCCCGGCTCGCTGAGCTGCTTAGAGCAGGTGATGCACCACTTGGTTCAGGGCTGTTCTTGTGCATCCAGAGTTACGTGTGGGCCGACTCTGGCAGACCCCTGGACGAGTTTGAAAACCTGTGTCACTCTGTTCCTCTCCAGCGCATTTCCCAGCAGCACCGATAAGCCCAGGGTTGACCTCGAGGAGGGGCAGCTTTGCTTGTGCAGTGAACTAGAGTGGCCAGGCAGTAGCTCTGATCAGCGCAGCACCGCCCAGACTATCCAAGCACAGAGCAGGTTGCTTTGACTTAGTCTAAGTCAGTGTGTATTGAAGCCTCCAAGACACTTTCGCTTCGGCTGCAGGCAGAACAGAGAGCTACCACAGCCTGGGCCCCTTTGCCCCTGCGGTCAGATAAGCCCTTTGACCTGGTCACTCAGTGTATTCCTTCTGACTACTCTTTGCCGTATTGAGGTCAGAGGATGCTTCTGAGTGGCTGCCCATCGCATCGTAGAGGTCCCGACTTGTGTCCATAAAATCTCCTTCTGTACTCTGTGCTTTGGCAGGAATCACAGTCACCGCTGCAGGACCCCTCTGCAACTTAACCATCCTTGCTCTGCAGCTTCGACCCAAAAGGAAGGGCCTGTAGCGGACGAAACACCGGACGCTGTCAGGACAAACAGGCGCGCGGCTGGTCCGGACTCTTTAGCGCCCAGGGCTGGCGCTGAAGCTTTGGAGTAGGGGAGGGAGCTAGAGCCGCCCTCCCCAGAAGCTCGCAGGGAGAGAATTAAAAACAAGACGTCCCGCCCCGTACCCAAAACTTTACGACAGTACTGTTTCGATCCCTCCCTCCGCTTCCTGACCCTAGAGGGTTAAATCAGGAGGGTACAAAGCCACCCCTTCCTCCTACTTCCCGCCCCCACCCCCACCCCCTTACCTTTAAAAAGTTAAAAAATGTCTGCAGTCGAAATCTCTTAAAGGGGCGGTGCTGGTGAACGAGTACTCTTGGCACGAGTCGCTGAGAAGGCTGGCTAGGGGCGTGAGTTCGCTCTACCAGCACCAAAACACAGAAGAAAAAAAAAAAGAAAAAGAAAAAGAAAAAAGAAAGGGGGGGGGAGGAAGGGAAAAAAAGGGGGGGGAGAAGACAGACACACACTTTAGATAAGGACAATTAGTCACCAGCGAGACCCTGTAGGAAGAGAGGTTTAAATCAGAGGGTTTAATGAGGGTGCTCTGTGCCTTCCCTGAAGCCATGTCCTCCAGCAACTCCTGCCCCCCCTCGTGCCTAGCCCCGGTGGCTCTCTTCTTGGCTCTGTTGCTCCATCTCTTCCTTTCCTCCCAAGCTGGAGACAGGAGACCCTTGCCTGTAGACAGAGCTCCAGGTTTGAAGGAAAAGACCCTGATTCTGCTTGATGTGAGCACCAAGAACCCAGTCAGGACAGTCAATGAGAACTTCCTCTCTCTGCAGCTGGATCCGTCCATCATTCATGATGGCTGGCTCGATTTCTTAAGGTAAGGCAGGGGCTTCGATGGATCATTTTTTTTTTTTTTTAATAACAACCCTCACCCCTTCCTATCCCCCATTCCAAAGGGGGAAGAAGAAGAAGAAAATAAGTCAAGCGGATCTCTCAAACAGAAGAAAGGAGGTTTTCCTCCTCCTGGAATATTTGCTGTGAGGCTGTAACTGGTGATTGAGAAAAGCAGTGTTTTCTATTAAGATGCACATGTTTGCAATGCAGAAGGCATTTCAGAAACTTATCAGTTATGACTGAAAAAATGTTTTGCTTACATATATCCACAATTAGCCTCCCCATCTTCTTCTGAAAAAGAAACAAGAGGTTCAGGACAGTTACAAAAGCGAAGAAAAGGCTTCGAGCAACAAAGACCCTAGAGGAATGGATGTGTGTGTGTGTGTGTGTGTGTGTGTGTGTGTGTGTCTGCGTCTGTGTCTGTGAGTGTTCAAGTGGGGATCGCATGAAAGTGGAATTTTCCACGGAAGAGTCGTTTCAGCAGTTGTCTCCCACTTCCAGACAAAACGAATTTTAACAGGGGCTTGAGCAGTGGGCAAATTGGGTCAGATTAAAATTTTTTATTTTACGTCCTCCGCTGTCGTCTCCAGACTTCAGGACTTTGTAAGACGCTTCTTTATAGACCGAATGGAGAGTCCCTCCTCCTTAAGTCTCCTGCGGTAACTGCATAGTTCAGTTTTTCTTTAAAGAAAAAAAAAAAATCCTCGCTCTGGTCATAGCATATATAAGGAGAGCAGAACGGGTCCTAGAAAATACTCGGTGGATGTTTAGAAGTTTGAACCCGGCACTAGCGGATTAGTAAACCCGGAGGTTTGTGATCACGGATCCCCTTACTCTAGAGCTTGGAATCTAATTGGGCTCACCCTTTCCCTGGTTACCGTTAAGTAGTTAGGCAACCACGATCCCTTCTCATCAGGGACAGAGTTGCAGTGTAAAATAAGAAATAAATCAACTGCAATGTTGAATCCAAGTGTTGAGTCTTTAAAAATTCCCTCCAAATTGGAGCCTCAGCTGTTGGCTCTCCGTGAGAGCGCTGAGCGCTCTCATTCCCTCTTCTCCACCCTGAGGCCGCGTCCACCGCTCCTTTCCTGATTATCTTTCACTCCTTGCGAAATTCGAGGTTTGATTCTCAGCGTGCGCTTGCCTCTCAGCTCTCTGAATTATTCCAAGCCTCAGCCGGCTCAGTGGATGCCGCAGGTAGCAGGAGGCGCAACGTGGGGGCATTCCTTCCACGTGGAGCGAGCGCTGCCCAAAGACAGTGGCTGCCACCACCGCCTCCGCCTTCGCGGCCGTTTTGGGTCCTGCCCGCGCCTCCGCTGGGAGGGCGGGAACAGCTCTGCGCGGCCCGGCGTCCTTCTCGGAAGCTCTTCTGTGCAGCAGAACGCGTCTCAGAGCTTGTCCCCAGGTGGGGGGCGACAGGGGTTTGCCGAAATACACGCCCCACTTGCGTTGCACTTCTCCAGCTGCGCGAACTTCTTCAGGGTTCCTTTTTAAAAAACCATCCTGTTAGCGCCAGATGCTTGCCACAGAAAAGACTCTGGAAGGCGGCTTTGGGGGGGAGGGGGGAAGAAGCCGTGGCGGGGAGCATTTGCATTGGCTGTGCAGGCTTCCGGACGGACGGTTGTTGGAAATGCCGTTTCCGTGGGGCCTGACTGGCGTGGCCATCCCTGCCTGCCGTGGGCCCACGCGACGCCGGGATCGCGCCGCGCTGGAACGCAGTTCTGGAGTCCTTTGCCATCCGACTGCTGGAGACCGCCACCACGCAGAAACTCTCTCAAAGCGGAGTCTCCGTTTTGTTTTCTCTCGTATCCACCCCCTTTATGATGCTCTCCTTTTGGATTTGGTTTTCAGAACCTGAACCACCAAAGCATTAAAAATAACAAGATCTGGAACTCAACACCTAGACCCCTAAGCATTAAGAGCAGCTCATTGCTTTTTCTCCACCCCTTCCCGAAGTAGCAGCGCTTGGCTCTTAAAAAACCTATTAATGGAAATCCTGAACCTCAAAGACGTAAGAAATGCTATTGTTCTGGTGCTCCTTGAGTTTCCTCCGTTGTGCAGGCTCTACATTTCGGCAAACCTCACTTCCCAGCGCTTGCAAACAGCTGCAAGTAGGAAGAGAAAAGATGGAGCCCATTGGGGGATGGAAAAGAAGATGTTACTTTTCTTGAGATCAGGCTGAAATATTTCAGGAGCAAAAGAGATCTTGCCTTTACTGTGCAAGGCCGGGCGTGAGGTGATTTCGCAGAAAGACAAGGATTTACCCCGGGAATCTCTTTCGCTCTGGGATTTGGGAGATGGATGTGGTTGCTATAAGGTAGTGGAAAAGGAAAATTAACTTTGGCATAACAAAAAAAATCTCCTTGACTTAAGGTGCTTGGTCTGAGAGAAAGAAGGCAGGGTGCACCTCCACGGATGTTGCGGTACACCTAGGCGCAGGAGGCAAATACCAGTTTTCAGTGTAGAAGTTTGGCAAAAGTTAGAGCCCGGCGGTCCGCGCGCTGCACGTCTCCGCCAGGAGCGCTTTCCCGGCAGTAGCAGAGCCAGGCAACTGCGCCTTAGCCCTGTGTTCTCAAAAATGTTTCCCTACCCCATGCACACTGTTAACAAACACAATCTAACCCTTTGGAAATAAGTACCTTTGGCGAGCAGCATCGGGGAGTCTGAGGGAGAGGGCTGCTGCCGGGATCCTAGCTGGCAGGGGCGCGGGGCGCACGCGAGACTCCGCGGAGCCACCAGGATCCCGCCGGGACAACCGGCTGGGGAGGACACAGAGGTGAACACAGAGCCCCCTAACCCCAGCCAGGTCGTCCATAGAGAGTGGGTGGAGGGCTTTGCTCGGTGCCCCGCGGCCTCTCGCCTTCCCCCGGGACCCTTTCCTCCTTCTTTCTCTACTCCTGCAGCTCCAAGCGTCTGGTGACCCTTGCTCGGGGACTTTCGCCTGCTTTTCTACGCTTCGGGGGCAAAAGAACCGACTTTCTGCAGTTCCAGAACCTGAGGAACCCTGCAAAAAGCCGCGGGGGCCCCGGTCCGGATTACTATCTCAAAAACTATGAGGATGGTGAGAAACTTGCTTCCCATTCTTGTGGGATGGAGAAAGTTTGGGGAGTGGGAGCCAGCATTCTGTGTGTGTGTGTGTGCGTGTGCGTGTGCGTGTGCGTGTGTGTGTGTGTGTGTGTGTGTTGGGGGGTTGTGTGTGTGTTTGGGGGGACAGATTTGGAGGAGAGCCTGGTAGAAGCCCTCCTCCCCGGAAAAGCTGGTAGCTGCGGGTGAGGGCACACTGGAGTGTGGAACTCCTGATGTGATTGCACACAGGGGGCTGGCGAGGTTGTCCTGCACCAACCCGGCTGCCAGCCTTCCGTGGCCGCCAACTGGTAGTCAAAACAGGCAGATTAGTCCTGTGGGGAGAAGATGCAGTGGGAAAATTCAGGCAGGTTCATAGGCTACTAACGGATCAGGCTTACGTTTTATTCCTAAAATTCTAGGGAAAAAAAAATACCTATTGTTTTTCTTATTTCTTGCTTCCCTGAGATGAAGATTTAGCTCTTTTTGAAAACCTACTCTTAAGTTTTCTGGAATAATCCCTTTTCTATTGGTCCCTTGTTAGGGAAGGTTTGAAAATCTCTATAGTTAGTTCTTCAGACTATTTAATCTCAGAGTCACATTTCTTTTTTTTGTTTGTTTGTTTGAAAATGGGGTTATAAATGCCAGCCTTCTTTTTCTGCCAAGATCAGATGAGTTAACTGTTGGGCTTTGAAAACTCCAAACCCTATTCCAGTGTGAGAGGCCAGTCTTTTTACGGTTGAACCGTCTCATTTTTACTAGGGAAAAAGTGAAAATGATATTTAAAAAATTATTTAAAGGGTTTGGCATTTATGAACTTTCTGTGCGGGTAGAGGGACATACCTTTTTTCAAATAGGGAAGATGGAAATTGGTGAGTCCTCAGCCTCTGAGGCTGTTTAGATTGGATAGAAGAAGCATTAGTGTCCATTCTTGGAGGGCTATCCTTGTCCTGCTGTTCCTCCTCATAAGTGAGCTACAGTTTTATTTTCAAAGAGTTCAGGGACAGTTTCTCAGAGTTTCCTGGATTTTGTTACATCTTGTCCTTATAAATCAGCAAAACAGGGAAATGCTGTTGTATTTTTCTGGGACTTTCACTGAATGGAAATTCTGGAGAGATATTGAGATTCATTTCAAGGGTGGTTGAGGAACTTTTTTTAAGTGCCAGAATGGAGGAAGAGAGCAAGGCTGAGGATTCTTGAGTTAGAAATGTAGTAGGACTTACTCTTTTATACCATTTGCCAAGGAGTTTAGGTGTTTAAGGCTACATCTTTCTAAAGGTAAATGTTATTGCCATAAAAACGTGGATTGGAAGTAGATTTTGCTGTGATTCAGCATAAAGTGGTGAAAGGTAAAAGATCCTGTACAGGAGCTCTGATGGTAATTTGACCCAGGGCCTTATAGCTCCTAGGGTCACTGTCAGGTCTGTAATCAGACACAAGAAGGGAGAATATTAATGGTTTTACTGATGAAACAGCTCTTCTATTAATCTATTTGAACTACTACTTTTTTAGTTTGTAGAAAAACTTGTAAGAGCCCCAGGTACTACTTGGGGAGGTGGGAGAGGGGAAAGGACCATTATAAGTTATAGGAATTGGCCTTTCCCTCCCAAACTTGTACCTAAGATTATATTACTGATTCATTGAGAATATGAGATCAGCTGAAAACGAAGGATACAATTCGTTTCCCTTTTGTAAAAGGAGAAAGTGGGCATCATGGGGAAAGAGAAATGGGCAAAAGGCTGTACCCCATAAAACTTCATAGAATTAAAAAAGTCAAAATTGGAAAAGATCAGTCCTCCCACTTCAGGGGCCAGTGACAGGATCATTCCATATGGAATCCTTTTCTTGTTTTGTCCAACCTGGTATTAAATATCTTTAGGAATGTAGTTTTCACCACTCCTGTGGGAGAGTGTTCTTCTGTCTCATAGTTTTTGCCAGCAAATTTATTCTGAAATTTCCCTTTATAAATATTACCCAAATATTTATGATTATTCCTCTTTGAATCTTTTAGATGTCTACCATCAAAATAATTTCTGTCCTTGGTGTGTCAGCTTCAAAAAAAAGAAAAAAGTTTCTTCATAGCTGTTTTTTTTTTTTTTATCTAGACTACCTGGATTTAATTCTTTTAAAACTTTCTTTAAAGTCAGTCCTTCCAGACACTAATCTGCTTTATTGCTCCTGGCAGAACTCCCTTTGATTTATGTCTCCCTGGTAATAAGATGCTCTGAACTATATCAGTATTTGAGGCCTTAGCAGAGTTAAAGAGAATGGGAATGCCCTATTTCTGCCCTTTGATGCTCACATATCCTTAAATCACCTTAAATCATATTATTGTCTTTATTGTTGCACGTTGCATTGCAGAATTCACGGCAAAATTGTTTTTGGTATAGTCCCAGCAACTTTGCAAACATTATACTTCAGTGGTTACTTTTCAACCGGTGATAATTGTCATCATGAGCATCTTAAAATAATTAGGTCTTCTTAGTAAATTACCCTGTAATAGACACTTAGGGATAAGCACCTTATTAAAATAAAGATGTATTGACTTAAACATAATGTAGTATAAGATACACCTATTGGCACATTGTGAATGATACAGTGAAGAGAATATGGAACTTGAACTTAGAAAGCTGCATTGCAGGCCTGGCTTTATCACTTATATAATGTATAGCCCTCAGCTTGAAGCCTCTCTATCACATATGAATGACGTTATTACTTGCTGGGCATTGCTTCTGTGAAGGTAACATGTGTAAAATATTTTGTCAATTATAAGCAGTATATGAAGGTTAAGAATTCTTTTATTAGTGTCAGTTTCAGAAAAATTAATATTTAAAGTGGGGTTATGAGTGAATCAGATTTGGTGAGAAAAGTTTATACAGAAGAAAGGTGATGGACTTAGGGAATTGTTTGAGAGGACTAAGAGAATATAGAAAGAATTGTCTTTAAGGAATGGAGGCAGAGAACATAGGGTGGCTTTTTTTGTGTATGTGGTAATGAGAGAAGAGACTAACTTTAGTTTTGCTATATAGTAATATTAAAATGAACTGAATAGTTCCAACTTGGGTAAAATACATTTTTCTGGTTAACTCATTCATACTGCTACCTTGATGTTATTTTTTTGTTGTTATTCCCCCTGAATTAATAGTGCAATTAACAAGTCATGTGGCTTTTATTTTCCAAATACTTTTTAAGCACTTTAATGCAACTGCATTTTCTAGTTCTAAAGCTACTGTTTATGTATCACTTAGGGAGCTTCTTTGGTTACTCCTTTAATGCAATTACCTATTCCACTCTATGCTTAGGCAACTTGAATTTCATAAAAACGTGGTGATGATGGAGGAATAAAAATAGGATTGTTCTTTATACCTTGGAATCTTACCCTTTGCCTGACTTCCTCTCTGTTCTCTGTGATGTTATGGTTTTCTTGCTTCCAACAAAGAAATCTTGGATTAGTCTTTTGTTCATAAGTTTATTTTGCTCCAGTCTACCCCTCTTTGTTACATATTCAGTGTGCTTTATTTGTATGCCTGTCTCTTTACTGCCATAACCACAACTTTAATGAAGATGTATACCATTTATTATGCACATCAAAACCCAGCTTAATATTTCTAAAATATATTTATCATGTCAGTCTTTTGCTCAAAAACTTTGATTATTTTGGATTGCTTACAGAAAATGTTCAAACTCCTCAGCTTGGCATTCAGAGCCTTTTACATTTCAATTGCAGCTTATCATTTGTACTCTATGAAAAAAGCCCTTTTATTACAGTCCTACTTGATTTCGCTGTCTACTTAAAGCACTGTCTCAACCTGATACCTTTGTTCAGCCAGTATATCTCTACTTTGGATGCATTTCTCTTGACTCTGTTCACATCTCACCCCCTATCCTACCCAATTCCTTAAGGTCTATTGCAAATGCCCCTTATTTTCACAAAGCCTTTCTCAAATAGGTCATTCCTTGATGATCTCTTTTTTCTCTGGACTGTTGTAGCTTTTACTCTATATGCTGTTCTTTTGGCCCTTTCTGCCTTGTTTTGCTTTCTAACTTTTCACATATACATATTTGTTTGTTTTACCTTTCCAACTAGAATGCACATTCTTTATAGGAAGGGATCATAGCTAACGATTGTATATCCCAAAATGTCTGTCATTATGTATGACATGTAGTAAAACTTCAGCAAATATCTTAGGTTAAGAAAACTGTTAAAGGCACTGGGAAAATGAGGTGACCAGTGAAGAAATGAATAAATACATACACAAAGATCCTATTCATTTTTCACCTTCAATGCATACTCCCAAGAAGTCCATTCTTAATGCTTAGTTGAATATCATTCTTCATTATTTTAACCATGTATTCTTTATCTTTGGTCGTTGTCTTGGTTTCATACTATGCATTAAATCAACTTTAGCAACTGGTTTAAAGCTTTGCTCTAGACCCACACTATTTTTTTCTTTATTGTATCTGTCTTGTCTTTGCTTTTACTTTTGCTTTTTCTTGTTAGCCTTATGTAGTTTCTATGCCTAATTTTCCAATTCCTGATTTAATACTGCCTTTTCACAAATTTAAATGTTTTTATCTCTATCTCCTGATGATTTTTCTCTTTAGAGAGCTTCTGAAATCCTAAATGATGACTGTGTGTACACTTTGTAAACTCTAAGGTACTATACAACTATTAGTATTGTTCTCCTTTTTCCAGGAAGTTTTTCCAGTTGTTTAGTGGAGGTGAGGCAATTAATTCTTTTTCTTTCTGTTCCCATTCCATTAATCATAAAGACATATGACATAAGAGCAGCACAACTGCCAAAATACATATTTGCCTTGAACTTACCCACCTATCATTATCTCATTTTATTTCACATAAATGTTCCTTGAAATTCAATTACACTTAACAAGTATTTATTGATTATCTACTTTGTGTATAGTTTCATGCTAGACAAAGAATGGCAGAATATCAAATAAATAAAAGATACTGTCCCAAGTCACTGTTAGAACACAACA